ATACAAGCTCACGAATCCAATTGCACTCACACAATCGCACGCGATAGTATATTCTCCGCTTCGTCGCTGATTGTGTGAATGGACATGGACATTCTTTTCTACGGTGACATTCAAGGCGAAAACACGTTTCACAGCCACGCTACTTCTGGCGTAGCAACTTTTCATTTACAAGTGTATTTAGATTCAACGCCATTATATTTTATTGTTGTGAAATTATTACATTTGTGGTCACTTTCGAAGTTAATTCGCATTGTAAAACACCATCGAAAGTCGACTAGAATCATAAAACCATTGGGAGAAAATGGACAATGAAAAGAAGTAAGTGCATTTTGATGTTCCATTGACAAGTAGTGAGTGCTGGTGACTTCAATACCAGATTTAATTGATCAAACAAAATAAAATCTGGCTCATTGAATCGTTATTATCATAACTCATAATTTGCTCACTGGATTCATGCATTTTAATTGTTTGGAATCAGAAGGAAAACAAGAATTTAATAGATTGTCAGATAGAATTTGTAAAGAGTCTATTTCGTGCCGTCAAACCTTACCTCAAATATGTTTATTGCTGTGTCTAAAATGTCAAATGCTTTTCATTGATTCTCAGACAATCGACTTTCTTTGGAGTGAAGAAAGAATGCAGCTCTGATGAACCACTGAAATCGAATGGTCGGATGGCGTCTTTGACTCCGAACAACATTCAATCGGCTGATGTATTCGAGATCAAACGGGAAAGCGACATCAAACAGGAGCCAGTGTCTGTTGGTGGATTGGTTGACGTTTCGGTATCGACTCATTGCAGTGCGGTACATGTTCCTGGTTTCAATGAACGTGACGCTGGATACGATTTTGATCACTTGAGCTGTGACGAGGCTAAGGCCGAGGTGAAGAACGAGTGTGACAAAAAGAAAGAAGAGAAGGCGAAGACAAGTGCTGACAACGGGGAGGAAGCGATGGATGACCAAAAGGACCAGTCACCTTCACAGAACGAAGAAGATTTGTACACGGTAGCAAATGGAACTGAGGCAGACAATACACAGCAACGAGGCGGTAGTGCTTCTGGAAGTACATCAAAGCCACACAAGTGTGAGTTTTGCGAATATTCCGCTCAATATAAGTGCCTTTTGAATCAGCACTTGTTGAAACACACCGGCGAGAAGCCACACGGATGCACCTTTTACTCGAAACGTTTCGCAAACAAACGAAGTCTTCGTGCTTATATGAAAGTGCACGTCGAAGAGTATTTGTTCCATTGCTCAGGCTGCTTGCAAGGGTTTTATGGGAAAGAGGAGAAGACGCAACATGAATCGAATTGCAAAATTCTTCGTTACGAATGTCATTTGTGCAACGAATCGTTTGGTTCACATAAGACAAAGATGCTGACACACATGCGTGTACACAGTGGAGACAAACCGTTCGAATGTAAAGAATGCCCAAGAGAATTCTCTCGAATTGATCATCTCAAGAAGCATATGATCACACATACAACAAAGCTTCCATTCAAAGCTTCCGTGGTTTTCTGAAGAACGACAAACGGAAGGCACACCAACGAAACTGCAACGGACGCTACTACGAGTGTTACTTGTGCAAGAAGTTCTTCAGCTCATTCAACTCCAATTTGAAAAGTCATATGTACACACATTCAGGAGATAAGACGTTCCAATGCAAACTGTGTAAGCGAAAATTTACAGCGAAATCCAGTCTCACTAGACACATAAATATTATCCATAACAAGAATCGTTGATCATATCGATCGCATTGAATTCATTCTTTATATGAAAAGTTATCAATTCATTTTCCTCAAATTGTCTAAAAATTTCTTGCCGTATTGAATTCAAATGAATTGAAGTTAAACTACACAATCAAGATTTTCGACTACTTGAGAACTTACATTTGATTTTTTTTTTTCATGAAAAACTTTAGTTTCCTAAAAAACAAATCTGGAATTTCTTTTAGTTCTTCAATGAAATTGTGAAAAAAACTGATAATGAAATAAATAAAGTTGATAAATTCAAATCAGAGTTGTCATTTTCATATTTAGCGACATCTGGAATAAGTCAAGGGAACGCGTAACTTATTCGCTGAGTGTGTGGAAAGGAGGAAAGTACGACAAAAGAGGTTTGATTGAAACTTCACCACTGACACAAGCTTGTGAATCAAAGTTACACTCACACAAGCACACATACTGTTCTATCGCTTCATTGTGCACAAAGGCAGAACGACACATTCTTTTCGCTGTCATCGTCGGAAGAGACAACACGTACTACTGCTCTGTCATTCGCAGTCATTTACAATTTTGCATAAAACAAAAATATTCACAGTATTCAAATACGAATTATCAACAAATTCCCAATCTGTTGTCATATTTTACACATTTATGTGACTTTCCATACATTTTTGCGAAGTGAGTGTTAGTTCAGAAAGAGCAAATCAATCAATATTTGCCGGAAAGACGACATTTTGGAAGAGACATAAAATGGGGAACAAAAAGAAGTAAGTAATTTTCCATGACGTATTGACATTTCAGCTCAAGGCCAATGAAACTTTTTTACTTTGATCTTGTCAGTCATCTAGACATTCGACGAAAAAAACCATATGAATCAGTGAACGTTTGATCTATTCAATTCGTAAAAAAATGATTTCCCTTCGGAGACATATTTTTTTGGTATTTAATTTTAATGGAACGGTCACTAAAATTAAGAAATGGTTACTGAAAATCTGGAATTGGTTGCGAAAAAGAGGAATTAATCTCCAGAAATATTAATTTAAAAAAATTGAATGGTCACTAGAAAAAAAGATATGGAGTACTATTTAAATTACATGAATTTTGAAAAAAAAAATAACTGATCTCGAAAATTAAAAGAGAATTTTTTTCAAAAATATAAAATTGTTCTCTATTTATAAGAAGTGATGCCTAAAAATAATCTCTAATAGAATTCGAAAAAAAGGAAACGATCTCTAAAAATAATAAAGCGGTCACTTGTTGTAAAAAATCTCAAAAAAAAGAAACGGCCTCCAAAGAAAAGGAAACGGCCTCCAAAAAAAAAGAAACGGTCTCCAAAAAAAATGAACCGGTCGCCAAAAATAAACGGTCTCCTAAATAAAAGGTCTTGCCGATGGAGAACTTTTCCACCCTGTTGTCCAAAATAATGGACTTCATTCATGGCTATTATTCAGAGCATTGAAGTTGCTGGCTATGTAGCGCTGCTGGTGAACAGATCTGTTCAACAGCAGCTGTTGGTTGCGTGCATATTCGCTGTGACGCGCGCTTGTTCATTTAACTATTCTCACACATAGTGTTTGTCCCTTGCATTCACAAGGAAACAGACAGAGAAGCGTATACAACAGACTCCGAGAGAGATTTTTATCTTGTTCATTTACCGTTATTTGTCAACAAGTCTGCCTATATCCACGCATTGCCAATTTACATAGTATACAGTCCATAAGAAATGTAAAATGTTCGCCATTTAGTTTTATATTGCCCATGCATTAGTTATGGGGATTTTTGTTTTGTTTATTTTTTGTTGTTTGTAAACAAATCTGCATATCTTTTCGCATTGTCTCTGTGTATTTATTATGGATTTAATATACTATGTACAGTGCAATGCAAAAAGATGGGCAGATTTGTTTACAAACAACTGAAAATAAACAAAACAAAATCTTGGCAATCTAAAGTTTTACTAAATGAGGAACATTTTACGTCTCTGTACTATATACAGATCTCTGAGCTAACGAATATGAGCTAACGATTATGACCAAATATTATGTTAAGTGTATACTGTATGTAGTAACTGTTTTCATGCGACGAATCGCTGAATTTTAAGTTACGCTGGCCACCGCACCATCTAGCAGTACAATCGCTGTTGCCAGTCAATGCCATGATTTGTTTTTGATGAGATAAAGCAACTTTTAAGTTGCTATAGTATCGTAAAATCGTCCCAAAAGTACTTTTTCAAGTAGCTCCCTAACAGATGTTCGATTTTCCATCTTCACAGGTCAGCACATAGACTGTTCCATTCCGTTTACGCTAGTGTATTACAAACACACTTACGTGTCTTCTTTTGATAGAATCTAAGTCTAGAGAAACCCAAACTTTTACCACTTTCTGACTTTGTCTTGCTTGCGTAGTATGTGCACAATCGTGCTAACGTTTTTTTTGCGTACAATTTTCAATGAACAACGTGAAACAGACCTAAAAAAACATCGCTCTAAAACCATTTTTTCGTGTTCTAGCCTTGAAAACGAGTAAAAATCATATTTTTTTGGGGAGGTCCCAATTTTTGGCAATCACATTACTTTTCTCTCAGGACATGGTCGTGTGGAAAAGTAAAAAATGAGTTTTATTTTTCATTTTTTTTTCTTACCCCCACCAATTCATTATTTTTATAGATTACTTCTATAGTTTTGGAGACCGGATCCCTTTTCTTCCCGCAAAAATTTCAATATTTATGGGAACCATTTCATTTTTGCATAAAGTGATCATTTTTTTGTTTATAGAGATAAAAAGAAGCTTTTTGAATGCAATTTTTTATTTCTAAACACCAGTTTATTTTTTAAGGTAGCCAAAATAAGATTTTCTAAAGACCGTTCTATTTTTTCTGGTGACCAATTCGTTTATTTTTGCAAATGATTTCATTTTTTCTAGATGACAATTTATTATTTTCGGCTGTATAATTTTATTTTTATCTGGAGATCGTTTTCATTTATTTTTTGGCGATCATTTCATTAAAAATAAATACCAAAAGTCACCTTCCCTTTCCCTTCGGTTCATTTTCACATTGAACTTTTTCTCGTAAATAAGACTCATGCTATGGATGATTCAAGTCGAATGCGTTTTTTTCACCGTGACTTCCAAACAATTGGCCTTCTTTTTCTACTTGACAAGCAACTGCTTAGATTTTTTGTATCGATTAAATTCTATTTAGAAGATTTTCTCTTTGTTTTATGATTGAAATCTGACTTTTTATCCATTGAATTCCAGGCGAGCTACTGAAGCAGGATTGAACCCAAGCCATCGTTCTAAATCACCATTCGAATCGACTGGATCAGAATTAGAAGTGGTCGAAGCTGACAATCAGTTGGAAAATCCAATTGAGGTTAAAGAGGAGCCTCGCATCAAGGAAGAACCACAATCAGTCGGTGAATTGGTCGATGTTCCAGTTCCTGTTCCGACAAGGAATAACCGTGTCGTTGTACCTTTATCTGGTTTCGACCAATCGAACGGCAAATATGACTTTGACAGTCTTGATTGGGACGATGCCAAAATCGAGGTGAAAGAAGAAACCGAAGTAAAGAAGAAAAAGGAATCGAAGACGAACGATGAATTAGGCGGTGATGCGATGGCAAATCAACGTGATCTTCAGCGGCCATCACGACCAGATGAAAACGTTTCCACGCAGCCAGGAAGTGGCCACGGTGCGAAGAACAAGAAATCGTGTGACAAAGTTAGTGTTCCCAAAACTGTATTGAAGAAGCAGAAATGCAACGTTTGTGAATATTCGACCGATAATAAAGGTCATTTGAATCAGCCCTTGTTGAAACACACTGGTGAGAAGCCACACGGATGTACCCTTTGCCCGAAACGTTTCACAACCAAACAAAATCTTCGTAGTCACATGAAAGCTCACGTCGAAGAGTTTCTGTTCCATTGCTCGGATTGCTTGCAAGGATTCGATGGAAAGGAGGAGAAGACGGAACACGAATCGAACTGCAAAATTCGTCGCTACGAATGTCATTTGTGCAAGGAATCGTTTGGTTCACTTAAGGCAAATATGGTGAATCACATGCGCGTACACAGTGGTGACAAACCGTTCGAATGTGAAGAATGTTCGAAGAAGTTCGTACTGAAATACAATTTAAACAACCACATGAAGATTCATGCCGGTCCACGTCCATTCCGCTGTTCAAAATGTCACGAAAGATTTTTACATCAAGATGAAAGAGATTCGCATGAAGAGCAGTGTATTCGCCGTGTATATGAATGCTTTGTTTGCGGAAAATCAATTGGTTTGAAAAAGTCCAATTTGATTAATCATATGCGCATTCACTCTGGTGAAACCCCATCCAGTGCAAAGAATGCCCACGAAAATTCTCTCAAAACTATCAGCTCAAGGCGCACATGATCACACACATAACAAAGCTTCCATTTAAGTGTTTGATTTGTCACCGTGGTTTTCTGAAGAACGAAAAACGGACGGCACATCAGCGAAACTGCGATGGACGCTACTACGAGTGTTACTTGTGCAAGAAGTTCTACGGTTCA